AAAGGAATGAAGATAAATAAAGAAGCTGATCGAAATGGGTAAAAAAATGTCTCTGTGTATTTCAGTCCGCCATGGCTGTCCTCCTCAAGTACTTGATGTATAATATTTAATTAATTCAATAATTATTTAAGTGATAAAAAATTATCTTTATATTATGTTCTTTTCCTAATTTTTTAAATCTTACGATTTTCTCGAAAGATTGAAATTTTAAAAATTTAGAAATCTTCTCTAACTTAATTTTTGTATCCAATTTAGTTGTAATTAGTGAAATAGGAAACTTTGAAGAGGAAGATCTAAATTGCTAGAAGAGAGATGTAAGAGGTGAAGGAAACCCAGTCATGGCGGACAAACGAGGTGAGAGAAAATCACCTACCTCTTGTTTTTATTATTAATTTTTTATTATTAATTTTTTAATTTTACCTTGGCTCTCAAATTTTTATTTCAAAATTTAGACACATAACTTGTTAAAGTTGGTATCCGGTTTACCCTTAAAAACAGATGTGAGGTGACAAAATGAGAAAGAGAGTGTCAAAAGCGAGTGCCTAAAAGCGACTGAAGCTAGCAGTCCTCTTTTACAATTAAATACAACTAAACTGCAAAACAATTTTTAATTGTATTATATGTAAATGCTGGTATTGGTGGGACGAGAACGGAGTTTCAGTAACCAGTTGCCGGTATAACGAAAATACCCTCATATGTAAACTGAAATGACAGTAGTATCCTCCACTTGTCCTAATCAACCCTAATCTTTCGTCAAAATACCAGAACTGTTCTCCCCAATCTCCGTTCCTGAAAGTTTTCCATCTTGCTCAGTCGTTTCGAATCTCTTCTTAAGGTCTGTATTTTTACATATATATATATATATAGTTGTGTCAAGTACCCTCTTATTGATTGTTGTTTATGATTTTAAAGGTTCCAGCTTTATTTCTTAAAGATTGTTTCTTTTGCAATAAAAATGAAATCTTTGTTTCAATTTTGTGAATTTTTTTTCTTTTTTTTTCTTTTTTTTTTTTATTTTGTCTCATGGTTTCTATAGCTACTGTATGCTGTTATTCAGCTCGGATTGTGAATGGAAGCTGTCAATTTGAATTTTTTTTTAATTCATTTATACATTTGCAGCTTTTCCCAAATTTTCAGCTCAAAGAAAGTTATTTTGATAAGTTGACATGAGGGGGAGGTTTGTTTCCTTTTCCTTTTCTGGGTTTTCAACTTTGTTTGTTCGGGGGAAGTGAATTTGTGCTCTAATGGTTGTATGTGAATTTGAATTATATATGAACAGGGATTGACATGACCTAAATTTCTTAGATGTACGAATGCAGTTCAAAATTTTACTTTTTGTTAGGATGGCACCAAAAAGCTCCGCCTTGCTTAGTGGGTTTTTCTTAGCCAAAGCTTAGTTTAGTTCTTCCTATTAGAGGTAGAAGGAGAGAAGGGAAAAACCAAGTAGTTGAAATGAATATTGTTAATTGATATTTCTAATGCCTTTATAAGTGGTATGGATTTAGATTTGTAGTGTGACTCTCTTGGCCAAGGATGGATGGTATAACAATGTTGTGATTTCGTTATGCTAGTTAACATGGAAAACATCTATATTTTGAGCAGTCCTAATCGCAACTACTCATAGAACTTCCTTAGGAATGCTAAGGATCGCTGATACTTTCTATGCATTGCTCATACACTATCAATGAAATGGATAAGGTCTAGGTACTCTCACTTCCTTCTTGAATTTAGTTTTTGATATTGATATTATAGTAGTTTGCGGCTTTGTGCATCCACCCATTCACATGATTTTTCTTTTAGTTTATGCATGCTGATAGCGCTTCCAGTTTCTTTGTTTCTTCTCCTGGTATCCTTTGTTTACCTTAAAATGTTTGTTTGGCTTCTTGCAGCTTTTGTTTTTGATAGTCATCCTGCAGAGTACCTCTGGAACTTCATGAAGTGTTTGTGTAGTTACCATGATGGTGTGATTAGGAACTCTTTCTCCAGCTGGGCCATGAAACCTTAGTTGGTTAATTTATGCATGGAATCTGGAGACTAAATTTGTTGTTTTTACTGCATGGAAGACCATACTTTCTTTGTTGGTCAAGAGTTCCCTGATGTCAAGGCTTTCCGCAATGCAATTAAAGAAGCTGCCATTGGACAACACTTTGAGCTGCGTATCATAAAAAGTGACCTAATTCGTTACTTTGCAAAGTGTGCTGCAGAAGGATGTCCATGGCGCATTCGTGCGGTGAAGCTTCCTAATGTTCCAACCTTCACAATAAGAAGCCTTGAAGGGACACACACTTGTGGAAAGAATGCACAAAATGGGCACCATCAAGCCTCTGTAGATTGGATAGTGAGTTTTATAGAGGAAAGACTGCGGGATAACATCAATTACAAGCCCAAGGATATATTACATGATATTCATAAACAATATGGGATCACCATACCGTACAAGCAGGCTTGGCGTGCAAAGGAACGGGGACTAGCTGCAATTTATGGCTCTTCTGAAGAAGGATACTGTTTGCTTCCTTCTTATTGTGAGCAATTAAAGAAAACCAACCCTGGAAGTATTGCAGAGGTGTTTACCTCAGGAGCAGACAGGCGGTTCCAGCGGCTCTTTGTTTCCTTTTATGCATCTATATATGGGTTCCTAAATGGATGCTTGCCCATTGTTGGACTGGGTGGTATCCAGCTAAAAAGCAAATACCTTGGTACTTTGCTTTCAGCTACTTCTTTTGATGCTGACGGTGGGTTATTTCCACTTGCATTTGGTGTGGTTGATGTAGAAAATGATGAGAGCTGGATGTGGTTCTTGTCGGAGTTACATAGGGCTTTAGAGATGAATGCTCAGAATATGCTGCACCTCACCTTTCTATCAGATGGACAAAAAGGCATCATGGATGCAGTGAGAAGGAAGTTCCCAAGTTCTTCTCATGCATTTTGCATGCACCATTTGACTGAAAGCCTTGGCAAGGATTTCAAGAACTCAAGGCTTGTTCATCTTCTCTGGAAAGCAGCATATGCTACCACTACTGTTGGTTTTAAAGAGAAAATGGCTGAAATGGAGGAGATTTCCTCTGAAGCTGTAAAGTGGATCCAACAATTTCCTCCTTCCAACTGGGCATTGGTATATTTTGAGGGGACACGTTATGGTCACCTTTCTTCAAACATTGAGGAATTTAATAAATGGATCCTTGAAGCTCGAGAGTTGCCCATAATCCAGGTGATTGATCGCATTCATTGTAAATTAATGGCTGAGTTTGAGGACAGACGATCAAAAGCCAATTCTTGGTTTTCTGTACTCGTCCCATCTGCTGAGAAGAGAATGGCGGAGGCAATAAATCTGGCGGCTACTTATCAAGTTCTACGATCTGATGAGGTAGAGTTTGAGGTTATATCAGCAGAGCGATCAGATATTGTGAATATTGGAACCCATTGTTGTTCCTGCCGGGACTGGCAGCTTTATGGAATCCCTTGCTCTCATGCTGTTGCTGCAGTAATCTCATGTCGGAAAGATGTATATGCTCTCACGGAGAAATGCTTTACTGTTACCAGTTACCGTGATATGTATGCAGAAGAGATACACCCAATTCCTGAAAAAGTTGAATGGAAGAAGTTAGGTGAGGTTCATATGGGTGATGATGCCCAAGTTGTACGGCCGCCGAAGTTTCGTCGACCACCAGGACGCCCTGAAAAAAAGCGAATATGCGTGGAGGATATTAGCCGTGAGAAGCATACCGTGCATTGCAGTCGATGTAATCAAACTGGGCATTACAAGACTACTTGCAAAGCAGATGCCATGAAGGGTATTGAGCAGTTTTAGGTTTCTAGTTTTGTAGTTTGTAGAATATGTTAACATGAATAGTGTTGCTGTACTAGGACATACTTGTCACCCTTCTCATGTAAAATAGGGTCATTGTGTTTTTAGTTTAGATTGAGTGTATAATTGGAATGAACTTTTGAGGATAGCTCTAGATGCGTCTTTACCTTTTTCTTGATACCATTCCATTACCAGGAAGTCTAAACTTCCATGAGTTAAGATAACGAAGTAATAACCAAGACAAGAATACTGTGAACAATCTACCCAAAACTCCAAGATAAACATTATCTCAAGAAAATACAAGTTATTGTTGCTTCAGCATTTCTGAAGCATTTCCTAGATAGAGATTCTCAATGAGAATTTATGATTTACGGTCCTGAACTTCTAAGAAAAGAACTCACAAAAGCAGCAGCTCCTTCAGAGGAGACACAAAGATGTGGCCTGAACCGGTCATACTATTTCCATTCACCTATAAAGCTCCTTGAATCTTCTGCACGCTTCTAAAACATTTTTCCTGTGACCAAAGGCACTGACCCTGATGAAACCTTCACCACCAGGTCCAAAGCCACTTCCGGGGGTTGTAACCACATGTGTCTTCTCGAGTATTTCACTGAATACATCCCATGAGCTTCGGCCAGGAAAATGAACCCACACGTATGGTGCATTTGCACCCCCATACACCTTGAACCCAAGTGAGTTAAATGTGTCCACTATTATCTTGGTATTTTCTTTGTAGAATCCAATAACCTCTTGCATAGCCTACAAGTAAAATATCCATAAATCAAGTGCTGGATTTAGACTATTTATATATTTGGTTTATGATCAGAATTGTACCATGTCAAAGATTTCAAATTCTTTTGAATGTTCTGAAAATAGAAAACGCAAGTCAAGGATACTGACCTTGAGGCCTTCCGGTGAAAGGCAAGCCAAACCACCGGCTTGGGGAATATTGGATGCACCATTGAAGCAAGTACAAACAATACGGTTGAAGTCCTTGGCTACAGGAAATCCATCTGAAAATAGGAGCTGTTTAGGAACAACAGTCCAACCTAGACGGACTCCGGTAAATCCAGCATACTTGCTGAAAGAAGATGTTTCAATTGCAACCTGCAATACGCACAGAACATAGGAAATCAGAAATCTATGTCATACTATGTGCTAATCAGATAGACAGATACCATACATTTGAGTCCTTACAGAGAAATCAAAGAGTGAAACAGTCACAAATGCAATGCAAAATGTCTCTGACAATAATTACTAAAGAACTCTAAGGTCTGCAGTTAGGGAAAAAACATAATGGAAATGCCTTTTTCTATGGGCCATGCATGGATAATGATAAAATGAAATTAGCTGTCATCATTGGGAGGACAATTACCTCTTTTGCTCCAGGAATTTCAAAGATAGTGCGTGGGTTATCATCTGACATATACATAGCATATGCAGAATCAAAGACAATAATAGACCCATTCTCCTTTGCAAACTTAACCAGTTGAGTCAGTTGGTCCCTGTTGGCAGCAGCACCAGTAGGATTGTTTGGTGAACAGAAAAATATTATATCTGTTCGTGCAACAGTGGATAAATCAGGGAAGAACCCATTCTCGGGAGTACACCTCATATATTCAATATTTCCATACTTCTGAACATCCTTCTGAAACTGTCCAGTCTGGCCCATGATAACACTGGAGTCTACATAGGCCTGCATGCAGAGAAAGAAAGTAATTCAGAAAATAAAAATTAGAACAAACACAAGAGAGCCATTTACTTTGCACAGCTAAGTATATTCTTCCCTCCTCCCACCCCCCACCTTCTTCTTAGTTTTTTCTTTACCTTGACTTTAATCAATAGTAAGGAAAGAATGGTAAATTGACTTATAGTTACAATGAAATTTCACAAAAAAGTTCAGAAATTTGCTTGCATAAGGTTCTCAAACATAGGCACAAAAAACAACTTTCTCAATCACAGCCACTGGACATGAGTAACCTAACATGTCAAGGACAACAAAGTTTCTTTTGATGGACAAAGAAAACAAAAATCAGTTCTTAGATATGATACATAAACAGGTCAAATATAATTTTTCCAAATCATAGAAATAAGAATTACCGGGTAAGATGGATCTTGGACTGCCATTTTAACATTAGATCCAAAAAGCAGCTGCACGAAGGTAAAAAGAAAATTTCAATGAGAATCAACTTTTGATTTTGAAGAAAGGGAAGGCAACTCCACATGCATAAAAAAATATCTAAAATGAAATTGGTAAAAATAAATCAAACCTGAAGGCGGGAGATGTCACATTTAGCACCATCAGAGACAAATATATCATCTTCCTCTATACCAAGGTTGCTATAAAATGTTGAAGCAATTGCAGCTCTCAATAGCTGTCAATATTAACAAAAATGTTATTTCTAGGATCTAAAACTAGATGACAGCTTGTAAACACACAAGGTATCATGGATTAACAATAAAATCTAATCCAGATGTAATAGAGTTAATCATAATTCCTAATGAACTAAAAATCTATAATAATAATTACGTATAAAAACCACTTACTTTTTCACCTTGTTCAGCTCCATAGCCACTGTAACCCTCTAGCGTAGACAATCCAAGGCATCTCTACCAAAGTAGAAGCAATTCAAATAAGCAATCAAATGCCAATAATAAGTATGACTGGATAAAGTTTGAAGCTAGCAAATGAAACTCATTCTCAACTCAACTAAAAAATGCATAATCATGGCCATAGACAAATATTAATCCCTGAAAAGAAAACAGTAGAGAAGTACCTTTGCCATTGCAGAAGTTATAACTTCTGGAATGGGTTCCGTGGTGTCACCAATTCCAAGACTTATCACTTGTGCATTAGGGTACTTCTGCAAGTGTGCAGCCCTCCTTCTCGCGATCTATTCCCAATAATATTAAAAGAAAATAAAAAACAGAATTATTACAACTGTAAAATCACTTTTCTAACATGTGGAAGAAAATATTGGACTAAATAGACAACCGCCACATTAGAGTGAAAAGTATGAATGGTGCAGTTCAGTATGCATGCCTAACATATTGGGAATAAAAATAACTTATAAGGATGATTTAGAAAACTGTCTTGGTCTTTCTTGGAGCAACCACAACAAAGTTCAACATTTTTAGGTGACAGCTCAACAGAATGTGAACATGTTAAAACACATTTCTTAATTAGACTTTAATGTCAGTTGATTTCCTCAACCTGAAGAAGCAGTAACAGTAAGATAATAAAGGGTGCCATCCCAAATGCAATTGAACTGAGGATCTAAAACCAGAGGTAACTCTGAGATGAGAAATCCTATCCTTTCATCAATACTGACACAAACAAATACCACACTTGCACATTCCTCGGAAAGTAAAAGTGTGGTATTTGTTTGTGTCAGTATTGATGAAAGGATAGGATTTCTCACCCAGAGTTAACTGTGGGTGAGAAATCCTATCCTTTCATCAATACTGACACAAACAAATACCACACTTGCACATTCCTCGGAAAGTAAAATATGTTGCCTAAAACCATTTGGCACTAACCCAAACATAACAAATAATGGAAGCTACTGACCTCCGGAAACAAGTACCCCGCTTGAAGTTTGGCCATATTTGCATTGCGAGAAACATTTGTCTGGTAGACTTCACAACAAGAAGTAGCCATCATACCTCACATAATATGTACCAAATAATGATAATAATAATAATAATAATAATAATAACTCAAATAATTCATTTTTATTAATCCAAAAAGGGTGTTAAAAAGCTTCCTTGATTAATATAATTCTTATAATTATAAAGTTGATACTATTTTCGCAAATGCAGAAAAAGGATTCGATGTTGGCTAGAAAAAGTTAAAACTAATGAATGAATATTACAATTTACAAGTCATTAAAGACATAAAAACGATACCCGTTTGTTCCTGTTGAGGAGCAGCAACACATTTAATTACACCGATTCTCTTCACCCGAACAGGGACACTCCGAGCCCTGCAGCATGAAAACAACATAAACTAAACTGAAAAGCTTCAAAACTTGAGAAATAAACAGAGAGATACGAGGACAGAAAAGACGGTATACCTTGAATTGAAACTGGTCGGAGCTAAAAAAGCCGACGACAATGAAGAAATGGTTGAGGTGCCGAGATTGTTCGTGTTCATCGCAGCCATTTTTCTTCTTCGATTTTGAGTCAATTTTGTGGAACAGAAACCTGCTGAAAGAAGAGAAAGGAAAGAGACGACGGTAGGCGTAAAGTAGTAAACCACGCAACTGGAGTGCAAGTGTAAAACCCTAATGTGGGACCCGAAAATGTCTGACAGTCTGAGAGTTTGACGGGTCAAGCAAGCTCCGATGGATCCTACCCGGAGAATATGTCGGTTCGGGTCAACTTTAAGCCCGATTAATCACGGCCTCGACGCCAAAGCTGCCGGCTTTGTAATTTTCTGCAACCGCATTGGTTGTCACCGGAGAGTTGAGGCGGCGGTAGGGTTAGGGTTTTCGCCTCAATTCGCGAAAACGGTGCTTCAATTGAGTCTGACATTTGCCTTTTCCGGCTGTATCAGTTCATCGATTAATTGGGGTATGCTTCATTGATGGTTTCCAGTTCTTCTTGTTATCTTTTTAGATATGGCAAGTTTGTGTATTCAAGATTTGGAATTTAGTTTCGTTGAGATTCCTTCAAACAGAGGGATTTCACTTTGCTAATTGTTGGGAGTTGGGTTGTTGCATGCAATTCATAATCTTGGATGTCTTTCCTGCATTTCCACCTCATTTTGTGTTATTTAAAGGAGTTTCATTTGAACATTTGATCTCAATTTTTGATCCCCTTTGCTTTGAAGTATTATTTTCACTTTTTGTGTCCAAAAATTTTGGTATCAGACGAATTCATGCTTGCTTTCTAGAAAGTAATCATTTTTCTTTCCTTGTTTGAGGTACTCATTTGGCAGATTCTTAAATCTTTCATGACTTTTTTTTGTTGTTCTTACCAAAATCCTAAAATTATATGCTTTGTTAATTGGTTAACTGGCTTTGCAGAGTCTGATGGATTTGGAGACAGAAAACAGAATAGCTGCTATTCTTTTGAAAGAAGCAGCAGAACAGCGAAGACAAGCTGATAGAGAAGGTATTCAAGTTTATCTTCAGAAGCCTAAGGTGAGAGGTCGGCCAAATTCGCGGTTCCTCACTGCTACTGTTCTTGGGGTACAACAAGGTTAGCTCGTCTTTTAACCATATATAAGTTTGTGTTTGATTCACATTTGGTATTTACTCTGAAAATAATTAATCTCCCCATTTCCATCCATCGTAAGGTGAGGATTTTCCAATGAAATTGGTCCTTTCTCCTTCTCTTCATGGTCTGATGAACCACCATTGGGTAATATGGTTTTTTCATAATTCATGATTTCATTCCTCTGTGGTGGATTTTTAACAAGGATGACTTTAAATACGTTGGCTAATGTGTAATGTTAATAACACAAGATTTGAAACGAGAACATGCACCATCTGATAATTTCATCTTAGGTGGTCTCATGTTCAGCAGAAATTTTAATCATATTTTTCAGTCAGCGAATTGTATGTACCATAATTTTCTATTAATATTTTCCTTTTTAAGGAATTTTTCTTTTCCTATAGATGTTCTTTATTGAATGTCGTATTTTATAATTTTATCCATGGTTTATTGTAACTGGTAATTTTTTGGTCTGCTTGTTTTTCCCACCTTTCAGCAAATAAAGCTTATAATTTTATCCATGGTTTATTCTAACTGGTATATACTGTTTTTTGGTCTGCTTGTTTTTCCCACCTTTCAGCAAATAAAGCTGTGGAAGTGAATGAGATGTGGCGAGTCCGAAAAAAGGAGCTAGAGCTAAATGATAGGCTCAAAGGGAGATCAAAAGATGTTGCCAGCAGTAGCAGGAACCATGGGGACATTGGCAGCTCTGTTAGAAACCCTAGTAGGATGCATGATGACATTGCCAGTACTTCATGCACAGCAAGTAAAAAGGAGACACAGAATTGTTACTCAGGGAAAGACAAAGGTTTGAGAGATGAAGAGGTTGAGGAATTTCTACACTCAAGGTATGTCTATCCTCTTGCAGTACTTTCTCCTTCCACTCTCCTTCCATCTCTGTGTGGTTTTGCCTGGATATTAAGTATCCCACCTGCCTAATATACGGTGGTGGATTTTTATTTAGAGTCTGTTGGTGGGAAAAGTTATGCGGTTTGACATGAACATTTTTCTTATGGCAGAATCAAGCGTGGCCGAGGTTCTGTAGGTTCAAGGATGGATGAAACAGGACCTTACCTTGACTCCCCAGCGAAATTTTCATCAAGCCCTGTTGCCAAGGAACACCGAGTTGTACTTGGTCCAGAAATACCTTCGTCTCTAAGGTCCTATGAATCTTCTTCTGACAAGGAGCTCCAAAGGAAGCCTACATCACACAAATCTTACAAATCAACATCATCTGATGAGGAATTTCATGAGCATAGGCATAAGAAGAGAAAGCAGGTTCACTCAGGTTCGGGCAAGCACTCCAAGAAGCACAAACCAAGAGAAAAATCTAGAGATAAGAAAAAGAAGAGGAAGGATGAAAGAAGAAAGTAAAAGTTACCCATAGCAGTGTTCTGTTTTACGGGTTGTTCAACCCAGTTGACTTACAAAGCGAGTATCAAATGAATTGTATGATGATTATTGGCTGTACAGATGCTATTCCTCTTTTGCGATAACAACAGTTGACATACGGCGAGGAAATGACCAGAATGGAATTGTTGCCTCTGTGTTTTATCCTTTTCTGCATTTTGAGAAGGGTCATCTTGTGGCATGGGAGAGCAATTGAATCATAAAATGAAATATGTTACAAATCATAAATTGAGCAATTGAGTCATAATCTTGTGTTTCATCCTTCTACAATGCCTGACAATAAAATGTTCAAAATAGTTAAATGATGGCAGATTTAAGCTTCCCACACCAGGCAGGAAAAATACATTGGATAGCACATTTTGGTCTTATCCAGAAATTCTCTTCCATTTCCAATCACTCTGTTTACACACGTCTTCCATAAACAAAGAGAAAGTGGCAGAGAAAACATGATATATCACTCAACTATCCGTATACGGCTTACATTTGTGCATAACCAGCTCAGGCTTTGCCCATATATAGACTAAAAACACATGCTAAGCACAGGCACACAAAATAAATGAAACAAATTTTTTGTGATAATCTCTATTGCGGAAAGCTCTATTTCCTAAGAAGGCTGATGTCAAGAGTCCTCAAAATGATGATCTGTTTCATCAAATATCTCCTCCTGAAGGTGGTCAAAAGGACAGGAGATGGAAAATCTGTGAGAGACCGAGTGAAAATTATAAACCAGGAAATACCAAAAGGTATAATGCAGAACCTGTAGGAGCTCTTCAATCACGTCTTCCATTGTCATTATGCCAACAGCTTCCTCTTCTTCTGATAGCTTTGGAAGTGGACTACCATTTATCTCTAGAATGTCTGAATGAAGGTCCTTTGTCCACTTTTTACCCCTAGAACCACTCTTAAATGACTGACCCCCAGCTGGAAAGCTCTTCCACTTCCTGAGTGATCTTTTAGCTTTCAAAATCTTCTCTTGGGGAGGTTTTTCACACTCAATATCGACTCTCACTTCTGTCATTGGATCTATTTTAAAGGAATGTAGAGAGAGTGAGCAGCTGTTATCAAGCTATCCTGGTGATAAGAAAATATTTTCATTGGAGGTAAAGCTTGTAATGACAGCTAAAGAACTTGTTGGAGAATTTAAACAGCTAAGTGTATAACGATAAGAAGTTGATGCTTTACTGTCAGCAGGATAACTAGAAGGCTGTTGCTCCGTCTTGTTGCACTGTCTCACAACAACAGCCATGTGGCTATGACCTTTCTGAAACTCGTTCAAAATGTCATATAATGGTAATGTTTCTGGAACCCTAAAACATGCAGACACTGAGTGCTTTTGTGGCAGAAGTAAAAATATGAACTTTAATTATCTTAGAGAAATTTTGACACAAAATACCTTGGAATTCTTCGTATGGTGATGTTCTTCACTGGTACTTCATCTTCAGGGTGAATTGCTAATAAATTCTTGACCTATAATATGATATTATAAAGTGTTAAGTAAATAGGCAAGTAAATCCAACAAATATATAAAAATAAATTCATTACATGAGCCTGAATCAAAAGGCAAAAGGAAAGAGAAGGCGGCTTAATTAATGCAATGGGTACATTACATCACCCATCGGAATAGAAAAAAATCTACAGAACTTGAGCCTGGAACCACAGAAGAACTTTTCTCATGATCAGGCAAATTCATTGGTCATATATATAGTTAACAGTTTTGAAGTTCTTTAAGATTAGGAGGAAGCACATGGATGCTTCTTTCTTCTACTGCCTATATATAGTTGTTTGTTGCTCAAATTTCATTTCGAGGCATCTGACCACTTTTATTATATTTCAGAAAAGAAAACCGTTCAATAGAGAGAAAGAGACAAAATAAAAGGATAACAAAAAGATGCTAGGTAGGAGCAGGATATAAGCATTCAACTAAAGCAAGCTTATAAGAACATCAATTTATATACAGAAAACCCAATTTCTGTTCAGCTTTATCCATGCTTAAGAAAACTGATAAGAATTTACCAGAATCAGTCCAATAATGTTCGTGGGCTCCTCATAATAAACTGGAATTCTGCTATGCCCTTTCTCTATTATTAAATTCATCAATTCCCTGTCCATAACAATCATGAAATTCAGCTAATGTAAATGACAGTTAATAAAGGAGCTGCAAATACATTTTATACCTGTCAAGGTTGGAGTTAATATCAATTGCAAAAGTTTCAGATACTGGAGTCATGACATCTTTAGCAGTTTTCTCTGAGAGCTCAAGTGCTCCAGCAATAATTGTTGTCTCATCATGAGTCAGTTCTCCACCTTTTCCAGCCTAATAAAGTTCAAGTAAAAGGGCCATAAAGCTTAAGGTCTATGATGAACCAAAGCAAGAATAGTAGAAATTAAGGAAGCATGAAATCCAGAGAAAAGAGTCAAACATTGATTATTACAGGAGTCACTAGGGATCTTTACACAAAAATAAGAAAAAAATCAAAAAGCATATAAGTTAGAAGTTAAAATAATAACAACCTAATATACATACCTCATTACCATGCAAATTTACAAGTGTTTTCAACTCAGCTCTTCGAAATAGAGCTACACGATGTCCCAGCAGAAAGTCTAACAGCTGGATAACCACATTACAAATAACAGTCATGAAAACTATTTGGCAAGAATTGAAAAGCTAGATTGCTCTGTCCCACTAATAAATAGAATTAGAAGCTCTATAATAAGCACCGAACCAGCATTCATTACCTTGCTTATCGGAAAGGCAACAGGAAAACAGATCCAAACAAGAACACGGACAATTGAAGCCACTGCTGCTCCAATTGCCAAACCATATCGAGAACACACAGATTGAGGTATTATCTGCACAGACAAATAAAACAACAATTAGCACAAATAACTTCTGCCAGCTACATGTAATTATGCATTCCAACAATCAGTTTTCATGGCCAAAAAAAAATTAAAACAGTTCTCATGCCAGAAAAGCTGGCCAGTTTAACTCAAACCAACCATCCCATCCTTACAGGCATTGTAAATCAGCCATAATTTTCAAGCATGTTCAAGTCGTATAACAGAACAAGGCAGATGAAATAAACTCAACATATATGATCCCACAAGTGAGTCTGAGGCTGTGTTTGGCAGAGCGTTTTTTTTTTTTTTTTGGAGTTGCTTATAAGCAACTTTTTGTCTCGTAAGTTTGAAAATGAATCAGAGGGAAAGAAGGTTTTTTAGCAAAAAAGTGCTTATAAGCAACTTTTGACGAATGCCATTGGCCAATTAAGAAATAATCAATGATTGAGTCTTACCTCACCAAACAGAAGAATCAGAGTCACTGAAATGAGAATAGCACCCCAAGCAGTGACCAGAGAATCAAGAAAAATGGGTAGTGCCTGACAAACAGGAACAAAAATTCAAAATGTCAGATAACTGACAACCTTGTTAACATCTAACCAGATAGCAAGCTTTAGACTAGTAAACAGTTTTTACCTCCATGGCAGCAGCATTGCATATAAGCAGGGTACATAGCAACAAATGCTGATTTTTGACAACTGGTAATATCTTGGCTGTTGCAGCAAGGGACAGATAGTAAATCCACATAAAATGATGTAATTTTAAAGAGTAATAATAGGGAGGACAAAAATTCAGGACCAATGAGGTGGCTTATGCCACATTATTAAATTAGTTGGTATATACAATATCACAAGTCCTAAAAAAATAAAAAGAGCTAATCATTAAATAACACAGGATCCACTTTTAATATTTTAAATGACTTTGCTTATGCCACTTCATTAGTTCTAAATTTTGGTCCCATTTATCATTATTCAATTTTAAACGTTAGGATCTTAGCAAATACATCAGATTTTTTTGCAAGAAAAACAAGAAAACGGACTGTAAGATTTTTTACCCTTTAAAATTCCTGTTCTTTTGTTTCATTTCCTTGATTTTTCAGCTTAAATCCATTTCAATCAAGACTATACAAGCAATAAACGTCATCAAGTCCATTCTTTTTCTCACAATTTTCAGTTGTCAACTGGTGATTTAGATATATATTTTATTTTCAAACACCATTAAAAAGGCAAATAGCTCCGAATTAATCTCACTTAAGCGGAAATCTTCATCCTATAGTGTTTCTAAGAAATAAAATTTATGCCATTCATGACTTGAATTCAGTTACTAGTTACTATTCTTCCCCACACGTTATTATCTACCAAGGAAAGATTAGAGAATACAACTCAACTAAAGGATACCAAATAAACAAAATCATCAACTAAAACAGGTAAAAATTTGATTTTCTTTCGTAAAATTTCTTCAGCAACAACAAAAGGCAAAACATAAAATTCAACGCAAGCGGCGAAAATAAGCAGAACACCATGTCACCGAAACTCCATTTTTCCTGGTATTTTCTCAGAAAATCGATTACGGAGTATTGGAGTACAAGATTTAGTGCAACTAAAAATGGAAACGAAAATCGCATAAACGAAGATGGCCGGACAATCAAGGAGACAATTACCGGCATGTTTTCTGTGATTAGGAGTACCAGACTTGGCAAGCACCTCAAGATCAACAAGGCTCATGGACATGAGTCCGAGAGTGAGGCCAGACATCAATCCGGCAAACATCACCAGCAAAACTATAATCAATATGTTGACGAAGAAATCCGTTCCGCAACATCTATACTCCACCGCCATTCTACTGCTCCACTGCAAATGCGCTCTATGTACTTCGGAAACTAAACACAGGACCTAGCGCTCAGCTTTCGTTAGAGAAACGAGGACCGGAGCTGGATAACCTCCATTCTCGAATCCTCTCAGAGCAAATCAAAGAAACAGAAAGAAGAGGAAAATAGAAACAGTTGAGTCTCAAGTTCTGTTCGGAAGAAAAGAGAGGAGTACGAGTAATAAATATGAAACATAATAACAATAAAACAGCGGATTCTCAACAATTGCTCTCTTCTTGTTACCATCAAGACCTTGTTTGGATCGAGGGAGTTAGAGGGAAGCAGTGGATTGGGAAGGAGAGAGAACACATTTTACTGTTTAGATAAATTATTTTAATAAAAAGGATGGAGATGGTACTCCCTGCTTTTGATTTGGAAGGCGATAGATTTTATTATATAATTTATTTTTATTTTATTATTTTTTAAAATAAATATATAAAAATATTTTATTTTAATTATTTATTTAATTAATAAATTTTAAAATTTTATTTTTTATTCTATTTTTTATTAAATTATTTAATTAAATAAAATATTATTTTTTCTTCTTCTTAATTTTTTTATTTTAAAAAAATTAATATCAAATTTTTTTTCTCTTTACTCATTTTTATCCAAAATGGAAGATGGAGTGGAAGGAGTTTGATCTTAAAAATAAAGTATCAAATTTGAGTTTTTTAAATGAAGCGTAAGTGCTGAAGTTTTATATATATATATATATATATGAGATCTCATATGTGATTAGATTTTGATTTAGTGAAATCTAATCGATTATAGATATTGAGAGGTTAATAATAAAAAATTATCATTAAATCGATTTTTTATACTCGATTAAGTATTTTTAATAATTAATTTTTATTACAAATATTAATTTTAATTTTAATTTAATTAATTGATCAAAGTTATTTTTGTGTTAATAATATTAAAATATATGTTAATTTTTATAATTTTTAATACAAATTAAATAAAAAATTATATTTATTATAGATTTAACTTATATTTTCAGTGAATAAGGTAAACAAACCCCTATTAAATTTAGTCAGCTTCCTTAACATTTTAACTTTTAACCCAAAAAATTCAGTCAAAATTCAACACTATAATTAATAAATGTTAATTAAAAATTTTCATTTTACTTTATATAGTTCTTGTTTAATAATTTTATTCAATCAAAAATTTTAATTTTTATTTAATATGTTATGTTAAATTTTTAATTAAATTTTTTGACTTAAGAGTAAAAAAAAAAAATTAGAAGAAGTATATTAGTAGTAATATAGTATTAGAAATCAAATGTTTTTATTTCAAATATATCCCTAATGTATTTGCATAAAGAGTAAAGCTTTTACTATTAAATGCTTTATTTAAATATTTAATTATGAAAATTTTATCTAAATTTGTAAAATGTTATAAAATAAAACAACAAAAATGAAATTGAATAATCGTGTTTCTTTTATATATATATATATATATCGGTAAAACAACTTAAAAATAATAAGAATAAGGACAAACATCATAATTTTAATAGTTTATGATATTATAAGTATATAATATAATATATTATTAAATAATTAAATTTTTATTTAAAAATTTATTTATAATTTTATATATATTTATTTTATTTTATTTTATATATATTATAATAATAAATTTATAATATTCAATAATATTATAATTATAATATTATCATTATAAAATTTTAAAATAATTAGAATCAGTGCATGCATGCGAATCTGTAGATTCTGTACTTTTCAGAGAAAACCTTTTCAACAAAAACGAGATTAGAAAACTTTTTCGACAAATTCATCAGTAGGTAGTACTATTACTTTCTAGTTTCTATTTGTTTGGTTCTGTAAGAATAAAAAATAGGAAAAAAAAAGAGCAGTGCTAGGGGCAGTCGCCTCCTGCACTCTCCGGCCAACACTCCCCTTTCATTGGGCCACGTTATTTTAGTTCGGCGAGACGTTCACTTCAGAGCTTAACAACCTTACGTGGCCCAATGAAAGGGGGAGTGTTGGCCGGAGAGTGCGGGAGGCGAGTGCCCCTAGCACTGCTAAAAAAAATGCTAGCGAGCATGTGGGTGAGCTGGAAGGCCTCGTTAATGTTTACTGCTGGGAGTGTCAGAGATATACGTGAGATGGGATGAAAGCTGGAATGCGCGGCCCTGCGCCCATCCCTATCGACCTAAAAATTAAAGAATGGGGCATTTGGAAAATAACGAGGCTGCTGATTCAGAAACCAATAATTTTTTAAAATATACTGATAGAAAAAAGTATTATATTATTTGAATTATATTAGATTATTAAATAATTTAAAAAATTATTTTTACTTAATAAATTTTTGTATTGTATTTTAAATTATAAAATAAGAAATTTTACTTATTAAATAAGAAAAATTATATTTTAGTTACTTAAGGTTTAAAATTGATGTATACAATGATTTAAAATTTTAAAATGCATATATAATATATTTATGATTTAAAGTGCATACATATAAAAGCTTAAGATTTTAAAATATGTAAATAAAGATTTAAATTTTGTATTAAATGCACAAAATTACTTGAAGTTATGAAAATTACCCTAAATACCTTTCTTTTTCTTTTCCTTTCGTTCTAAAGTAAAGGCCTTTAAGAAATTTTAAGTGGTTATTTGCACCAAATGTAAATTTTAAGTATTTATATGCACATGTTGATATCTCAAATTTTTATTTACACATATCCAAAATCATAAGTATTTTATATGTATATTTAAAAATTTTAAGTTTTTATATATACTAATTTCATATTATAAGTAGTTAAATCACAATTTTTCCTATTAAATACACATATATATGTTCATAAGAATTGTAAAAAGAATTAAAAAATTTTGCATTTTTATTAAATATAATCTAAAAAATTAAAAAGTAAAACATAGAATAAAAAAATTGATAAACTTTTATAGAGATACAATGCTAACAATTAGAGAAACAATTAAATGGGATTTAAAAAACTAAATAGATATATTTAATAATCTTTTAAATAAATATTTTATTTTTCCAAAGTCTAAAGGGCTATTTATATTTTTTATAAAATATATACGATGCTATTTAACAAGTTTTTGAAAAACCAGCTGTCGAGTTGCTCTCACTGATCTCCAAGTGGTTCCACTGCATTTACATATATTACCTCTACATTAAAATAACTATACTTTTGTTAAATATATATATATTCATTATATTTTCATTTTAAATTTATTTTAAATTAATTATTATTTTTTATTTTATAAAATAAATAAATATTTTTTATATTTTAATTTTATTATTATTTATTAATTTTAATTAATCATTCAATCACATAAAATTTCTCTTTATTTTTTATTATTTTAAAAATATTATAAATAAATATAAATTTTATTCACAAATTTTGAATTTAAAAAATAAAAATATGACAATTATTTTAAAATAAAAAAAGTAACCCAAGAGATCATGATCTAGCACTAATAATTGTGTTGATTTTGTTCCCTTTGAATTATTGCCTTTCAAGCGATTTCAATAATTTTTCGTACTAGACTTAATAGTTAAAATGGAGTTTCTAATACTTTAGGTGTTAAGTTTGAATCATGTTTGTACAAATTTTTATCACTATATATTAATTATTAAAAATAAATAAATTTTATTGTATGGTGAAATGTTATATTGATATTATGCAAACTCATAAATTATAATGAAATTAATTTATGAAAATAATTTATATCAATTTTAACTTTAAAAAAAATTAAAATCACAATTTTAAATAATGTTGTTTAATTTAATTAAAATTTAATTTAAAATTCAAAAATCAACTTTATTAAGAGTTGATTCTTACATTTAGAAATAAAAATTTAATTTAAAATTAAAAAATTACATGTTAATAAATAAATTTAAAAATTAATTATATTAAAATACATATCCATTAATTTTTAAATTCAAGTATTAATATTTAATAAAATAATTTTTTTAAATTTTAAATTAAACTTTAATTAAATAAAAGACATCATTTAGAGTTAGACTTTAATTTTTTAGAATAAAAAATTAAAATTGATATATATTTTTCTTATAATTTATAACCCCATAAAAAAAAAGAACAATTTTTCATCTTCAAACAAGATGAAAATAAACCAAAAAGTTAACTAATTTCACAAGATAAGTGAACGCATATCTAACTAGAAAATGTGGTCAGCTTCGATTGCAAACTTTTGTCAATTTTCAACTTATGATCAATCTTTGTCGGTCCAAAGAGAGAAAAAAAAAGAAAGAAAGAAAGAAAGAAAGAAAACTTATGATCCATCTTTCACATGGGAAGTTCATCATTTCATTCAAAATCATGGAGAAGGGTGACCAAAAAGTCGATTTATTAATGTCATTATTTCTCCTAGCTTAAATAAAAAAAAGTTTGATTTGAAATGGATTTGATGTTTCACCTATAAAAAATAAATAAAAATACAGGCAAATGCGGTATTGACCCACAAGCTCATTGGAAGAAGAAGAAAAACTAAGGGTGTGCATTCGGGTAGATAATCGAACCCAAAAAATGAATTCAAAGAGGACTTCGGTTTAGTTTTAATGATTTTTAGATTTTATTATTTTAATTTTAATATTAACTGAATAAATTTTAGTTTAGTTTTAATTGAATTTTTATAAATTAAAAATTAAAAATAAACCATTTGAAAATTAAAATTTGAATAAATATGATAAAATATAATAAAATATAA